CTCTCTCTCTCTCTCTCTCTCTCTCTCTCTCTCTCTCTCTCTCTCTCCCAGTCTGGCCTCTAATGCAGAGATGCATATGCTTCTGTCCCCCTGATGGCTGGGATTAAAGAGATGGGCCCACAAGCCTGACAAGATCTACATCTTTTTAAACCATTCAAAAGAAGCTGCTTCTGAATGCAGATGATTTACCACCGTGTAATCAGACAGAAAAGCAGAATCTCCCTTAGTGTCCTGGGGCAGGGGATCAGGGATCAGCACACACTGGAAAAGGCAGGAGATAGACTGGGCAGCAGGTGAGGCCCCTCTAATAGCTTAGCACTTAACCCTAAACAGAACCCACGGATGGTTTAACTGCAAGGAAAGGGAGATCAGAGACCAGGTGTGACCCATGTGTGAGCCTCGTCTCTGGAGTCACAAGCTCAGCCCCTCTGCATACTCAGAGAGAGCATGGACAAGTTAGTTAAACCCTATGAGTGCTGTCTCTATGTCCTCAAACAACATGTTCAGTGGGTTCTCAGGCAAGGGATTCTCAGGTACTTGACAAACACTGTGTGGATATATAGTAATGTCTGTTGGTTTTGAGACAGTGTCTCATGTACCCTAGGCTGGCCTGGAGCTCTCTCTGTAGCCAATATGATGAACTTCTGTTTCTCCTGCCTACATATTTCGAGTGCTTGGTTCACAGGTTGACCATGCCCATGTGAACATTTACTTCATGACATTGTCCTTATTGTGAATGGCAGCAATGGCTATCCTTTCTCATCCATCTTCAAATATGTTATTTTCAATCTCTTCATGTGATAGAGTTCAGAAGGTTGATCTAGAGGTTCAGGATGCATGCTGCTGCTGCTAGGCATTGGGGTCCGCACCTGTAATCCCAGGACTTTAGAATTAGCGACAGGAGGTCCCGGGGTTCATGATCATAGGTCTCCAGCAGAGCCTGTTTCATAAAGAAACAACTAAAAACCTAGACACAAGCACACAAGGTGTGTCTCTGTGCACTGCTCTCAATGCACCCTGAGCCAGATTGACAGCTTCAGAGTCCAGATTTGCTAATTCTCATTTTGACTTTAGTTCTAAAGTATTTCTTCTTGCTGGTAAATATGATGATTCGGCAGTTAACCAAGTTCAGATACCACTCAAGGTTGTGCTAAACACAACATAAGTCAGTTCAATTAGCAATATTTTCAACATAGTGTGATGACTTCTGATATTGCACTAGGGTACCCAAATATGACATGTTAATTTATTCTTGTCTAGTTAGCTCATTCTTTTTATTCTAACCTGGCTTTTACCCATAGGAAATCATTCAATCTCTTGTCCTTGAATTGTATGTCCTTGCCTTGTAAAATATCACTTGTTGGGCATCTCTAACAAACTTGAACATCAAAATAAAATTAACACCCTCTTATCGTCAAATTATTCACTGCACAATGGAACTATTAACATAAGTTTAGGATTGTCTTTGTGTTTCTGGGATTTTTAAGATACAGTCTCACTATAGAACTCAAGATGATCTGGTAGTCTAGGCTATCCCCAAGCTTGCTACCTCCTGTGGCAGCTTCCTGAATCCTACGACAAAGGAACAGACAACTATGCTCAAGTCTTTTTCTCTTCTTCTATCTCTTCTTCTTCTTCTTTTGAGACAAAATACTGTGAACTAAATCGATTTACAAATTCTTTAAACTCAACATGACTCCAAGAAGATAGATGAGAATCTCATTATTAACACAGGAAGGGATTTGCTTACAGTGTGTTTATTCCAAGGGCATCGTGAAGATGTCACAGTTTCAGTGTAAACTGTCAAAAAAGAATGAAAATTGTCATTAGAATAATGCTATACTTTCATTATAGACGCTACACATGTTCATCCCAACTTCTATGGTGGATTATAAATTAAATCACAGGACCAAAAACCATAGGCAGGCAGAGCATCAGACTAAATACCAGTATTTTGTTAAATTTATCTAGGAAGTTATATATCTTAACCTTTCTGTTCTGGTATCGTAGAATATTCTCTCCAGGAACTCTCCTGCATTGATGGCGGGAGTGCAAGCTGGTACAGCCCCTTTGGATGTCAGTGTGGCGATTTCTCAGAAAATTAGGAAGCAACCTTCCTCAATACCCAGTAATACTACCTTTGGGTATATATCCCAAGGATGCTCAATCATGCCACAAAGATATATGCTCAACTATGTTCAAAGAAGCATTGTTTGTCATATCCAGATCCTGGAAACAACCTAAATCCCCTCGATCAAAGAATGGATAAGGAAAATGTGGTACATTTACACAATGGAGTACTACACAGAAAAAGACAAGATCTCCTGAGTAAATTGGGAGCACAGGGACCTTGGGAGAGGGCAGAAAGGAAGGGGAGAGGCAGGGAGGGGAGCAGAGAGAAATGTAGAGCTCAATAAAAATCGATAAAATTTTTAAAAAGAATATTCTCTCCTCTCTCTCTCTCCCTCCCTCCCCCGTCTCTTTCTCTCTCTCTCCCTCCCTTTCTCTCTGTCTCTGATCTCTCTGTCTCTCTGTCTCCCCCCCCCCCACACACACAAAGCCCAAACAGTGAATGGTACAGCTACAGGTCTATGGGACTCCCAGTTACGGCCAAAGCTGGCACTGCCAAGCATGAGTACACTTGGTTGACCATGGCCTCCTGATTCTCACCTTCCATTTTTACTCATTGGGGGCGCACTCCCAAGGAATCAAAGGCAATGACTAGGTTTAGGCACCATCTACAGTCTAGAATCTGTTTGTGACCTCGTAAGCATGACCTTCCAGGTATAAGAGAAAGTGACTCAAATATGAAACAAGATAAATTAAATTCAACACTGACAGGCATGGTGGCAAACACCTTTCATCACTAGAAGTAGAGGCAGGAAGACCTCTGTGACTTCAGACAAGCTTGGTCTACATAATGAGTTCCATGCCAGCCAAGTTGAGATCCTAGCTCAACAAAATGGAATTCAACCAATATCACTCCAGCTGGTCACATGATCGTGTCAGCTGTCACTGCTTTTCTAAATCTCTGTTTTCCATGGAGTCAGGAACTTAAACTTGTTCTCTCCAAACTCAGCCCATGAGCCCCATCCCCTGATGCAGGCACAAACTAAGTCTTGAAAAGTTCTGCCAATCTCGAGAGATCCTCGCAGTTGCCTGGAGCAAAATGGGTTCTCTCACAAATCCTTATGTTCTAACATTCCAGTTATCGCCTAGGGCCCTCTGCAAACTCAGCTTGTAGACCAGTACTTCAGAGCCCTCTTATTTAAGTGTACCCACAGGCCAATGGGAGACAAGGAAATCAATACTTCCCATCAGATTGATCTAGCAAAACAAACCAAACAAAAATCTGTGACCCTTCTGCTGCTCGTCAGAATTCAGCCCCACACCAGAGGATGGACAGATGTAGGAAAATTTAAGTATCTCAGAGCTATTCTCTTCTCAGTGCTGGATGTAGAAGAATTGGACCGAATCTTGTCTTTGGATATGAAGTTTTCCCCTTCTCTAACAAACTGTCTGTTAAAATTAAGTCTAAATTTATAATGTGCATATGTGAAGTTAAATTTTAGGGAGTCACACAAAGCATATGCATAACATTTTAAATTAAATTTTGTGTATATGCATATGTAATCTGTGTGTACATTATTGCATTTAATTGCAAATGCTTATGGAGACCAGAGGCGTCAGATCCCCTGGAAGTGGAACAACAGGAATTTGAGAGCTGCTCAACATGGATGCCTGGAAGCAACTCAGGATCTCCTCAACAGCAATGCTTGCTTTTAGGTATGAAGCCATCTCTCCAGCCCAAGCTTGAACATGTCAGATCCCTAAGGACTTTTAATTCAATGTATAAATCATCAGTATAAAAAACATCTTTTTACATTTTCCTGCTTTACAAATAAATTGAAAGATCCTTGAAGGAAAACTCTAGAAAGTATCAACTGCCCATGAAACGGAGTCTTCTTCAGTGAGGATCTGAATACAGGACAGATCTTTCAAACATAAATCTCAGAGCCTGTGGCCGGAGTTATGACTTCAGAGTCAGAAGAACCAGCTTCCAACTCAAGTGAACAGGGAGAGAGTCTGAGCCACTTTCTGTCTCCATAACTTCCACCATGAACTGTCAGTCCCTGTCACTATGAAAGAGGGACAGATCACAGCTATATAGGACACAAGTGTCTGAGAATTAAACATTGCATTGTGAAGCATGTAGCATGCAGCCTGGTGTTTAGGAAACATTGAATGTCAGCTTCACTCCACTATGGCCTTGGCTGGATGGCCCAACTTCAGAATATCTGAAAAGGGTTCGAGTCTGCCTACCCAGACACTAGTTATCAGTCATTCTTTCTTTAGTTTTTCATCAGAAAGTCATGCCCCACTATCCCAGATTCCCAACATACTCATCAGCTATCCGAGATCAATGATTCACCTAAATCTGGCTAGTATTGAATCCCTGGAAAATCTCATATAGAGAGATGGGTGTCCTCCATGTTCAAATTGTTACAGAACAGGTGGTGCACATACAAAGACTGGAGAATCATGGACATAGTGAAGTCATTGTTTAGAACCCAGCTAAGACTCCTTCACCTGGATCATACTTATGACTGCCTTGTTGTCTGTATCTCCTACAGAACCCCATGAGAAGGCCTCTGATTGCTGAAACACATAATTTTTTTTACCTGGTTTCGAAGTCTGCATGTCTGTTGGTCGTGGAGGAGTAGAAGTAGAGATTCTTGTTGATTTTGGAGCACTTGTGGATCTCCTTGTAATAGTTATGGGTTTTGAAGTCGCTGAGGGTCTCCTTTTAGTAGTTGTGGGTTTTGAAGTAGTTGAGGGTCTCCTTGTAGGAATTGTGGGTTTTGTGGTAGCTGAGGGTCTCCTT